AGAAGCTGGCTAGCAGACAAGCTTTCCAAGCCACCTAATGGTTGAACAATTTTGACCTTATCAAAAGTAAACATTTTGATGAGGTCAAAACAAAATTTAATTTTTTTAAAAAATGAAATTTTGGAATTTTGTTCAGTGGAAAAACATCACAATTTTGAAGTTTTGACATTTTGGAATTTCGCATGGAATGGGAATTCTGGGATCTGAACAGCTCTAATTGAGACATTTTATTGCTTTGTTTTGTTTTTTAATACATGGTGAGAGTTCTCTCCCTCACATGTCCCAGAGTAAATCCAAAAATATGCAGTCAGGAGTGATTCATGCGCTCAATACAGTATGATTTATTCATCTGGTTGTGGATTTTGGCATCCAGAAGATGACATGTCCTTGGAAAGCTCATCAGTAGCAATTACAAGTTTGATAAAAACTGTAGGTGTAGCATTTCTGCCACTAATATAAATGCTGCTGAACCTGTTGTCTGCCTCCTCTCATACAGAAAGCCTGAGCGACCATGTTGCTATTGAAATCATGATTCTGCCATCCACTGCCACTTCTGAGATTACTGCCTTATGATCTCAGCATCACCACTAATACTGCTCGATCTTTACAAGAGAGAGAATGAATCAGTGGATGGAGAAACAGAGGAACCAGAAGGGGTCCTGAACTTGGTTGAGTGGTATATATGAAACCATGTCTAACATGAAAGAATGAAAGACAATAAAACAAGCTAACGATCAGTCCTGAATTGCTGCAGAGCTGTATAGGCACTTTAGACAGCAGCAGAGGAAAAGGGAACAACTGTTGCTTTTGCCAAGGTCAATTGCTAACCATTCATCTTTCCTTTTGCTGCCACTGGTGTGAACCTTGCTAGCATGTCTAACAACAAGTGACACTGTAACCATGTCTGGGCCATAACAAAGGCAAAAGTGTCGGGAACAATTCGTGGTTCATGATAAAGATGTGGCCACAGCTGCGTGCACACACACTAACACAAATATAAGCAATTAAAAAAAGACTGATGACATCTAACTACAACCAGATTATGGAGTCATTTTCATGGTAAATCTAAAAATGTATTAACTGAGCAGTATCAGTGAAAATGTAAAGAAACGTTGCCATCTTAGTCCATCCCTACTATAGTGATCTTATTCTCCCTCAGTATCTTATTCTTTAGCTGCTATTGGTAATACACTCTTTATTTTAACTTCACATTTTCTATGTGCCATACCTTTTCCGTAAATCAAAATTAACCTTTCCTGTAAATCAAAACCAATCTCTGATATATTAATAAATCAGAAACTTCACAATCCTCTATGTAGATTGCCATAGAAAAGACTTACCTAGAGAAAAATGTTTCGTACTTGGAACATAGAAACATTGACCTGGAAACTTAAAAAATGTACGAGTTCAAGTAATACATTACTGAGGGTTTTTTTCATCTGGTTCAACCCTATCTTCCTGCACAGGATAGGGAGAACAGACCAGCCAAATAGATAAATGCCAAAATATTTACATGGAAGAGAGATATCAGGAGGAGAAATCAAACGCCACACAACTGAGGGTCCTTGACAAGATGTAGGTCCAGTCCTTGCTAAGGGAGTGTGAATCCTTTTCAAAGGACTTCACTATTTAAGGAGACACTTAGTAACATGTTCCTCCCCAAAATGAACACAAAAAAACCTTCCACCATTAACTGAAGAGGATGATGTATGCCAGCTAACAAATGTACATGGCATTATGTGGCCCAGTATTCTCATGCAAAACAGCACCTAGCACGGTGGGGTTCTATTCCGTGACTAGACCTTCTAGCCACTACGGTAATACAAATAACAACAACAACATTAATTATAATAATAATAAAGCGGGCTGGTATCAGACAGCTTGGGAAAAACAACATACTGCCTGAACAAGAGGCAAAAACCTGACTACTGGCAGACATGAAACTGCCCTGACTGCTTGTAGAAATGTAACTTCAAGACCCACAGGGTGGCAATACCAGATTAGTTCACTGGTCCATCTAATCTGATTCTGCCCCTGAAGTGGCCAGTATCTAACGTTTAATAGGCAGGATAGCCTTGTCCTTAATGCATCTCTGCAACTGTGCAATGCTTAATATGTGCAATAAAGTACTTCCTGAAAGAGGGAATCAGTCTTATGCTCTGAAGTATCTGATCTGGTTACTCTCTTATCATTGTTTCAGGCTGCACAACTGAAATTATTATCCATCTTCAAAGACAACATATTTTCTCAGAATAATTTAAGGCTGTAAATGCTCATTTGTTCTTTAGTAAAAAGCCTTATTGGAACCTTGCAATTATATTAAAAACAAATAAAACAAAACAAAACTGGAAGCCAGGAAATTCTAAGTGAGGGTTATATTTACATTTTTGAAAGTCTGGTTCCTGTGATTTTCAGGAAGCATTCCCACATCCCCATGTTTATCTGTGCACAACTGCTTTGGTACATTAAGGAAGAGGGCTTTCAAAGTCTTTGAAATCAGCTGGAGTGCAGAAGTTGGGAAATACACATGCTGATTGCGAAATTTCTAAAATTTGTAAAGAGCTCACAAGTGTCTGAGAAGTTCAAAAGATTTTGAGTATCTCCAACATGAACCATGCAACAATCCAAAAATAAGCACACAGAACCATATGAATTACCAGACTGGATCAGACATGCGGTCCTTCTAGACTAGTGACTCAGACAGTGGCCAGCACCAGATGCTTCAGAGGAATATGCAAGAAATCTGGAATAACCTGCCCATAGGGAAAGTTTCTTCCTAACCCTCAATAGTCAGGATTTGTTTCTGCCCTGAAACAGGGAGGTTTATATCCCTTCCAAAACTCTTGGTTTTTAATTCTTATTATTGTATCTCTGGATATTCTTGCTATCAATATAAATGTCCAATTCTTTTTTGAATCCTGCTAAGCTTTTGGCCTCAGTGTTATCTTGTGGCAGTGATTTCTACAAGTGAATTGTGCGCAGTGTGAAAAAATATTTCCTTTTTCACTTTTCAATTTCATTGAATACCCCCCCTTTGTTCTTGTGTTTGGAGAAAAGGCGAACAGAAGTTTCCAATCAACTTTCTAAATACCATTTTTTATATCTTTATCCCTCTTATTCATCTCCTCTCCAAAGTACACAGTTCCAGTCTTTTCACTCTCCCTTTGTAAGAATTTTCCCATGCCTCTAATGATTTTCCCTGCCCATATCCGAAGCCCTCCCTTTCTGACAGATACTGAAGATTGAAGATATTGAATCAGGGTGACTAGAACTGAATACAGCTATCCTGATAAGGGCTCACCTTTGATTTACATAATGGCATTGTAATATATACAGTATCATGCTTTATCCCATTTTGCTTTTTCAACTGCTACTGCATATTGAGTGGAGATTTTTCACTGAACAGTCTTCTGTCAAGACCTGGTCTTTTTCTTGAGTTGTTGCAGTTAATTTAGCATCCGTTAAGGTGTATGAGTAGTTCAGATTATTCTTTCCTATGTTAATTATTTTACAGTTGTCAACATTAAATTTCATCTGCCACCATGCTGCCAGTTCACAAGCTTGGATACATCCTGTGAAATTACTCTCTGTCTTGTCTAGTCTTGACTCACCTCAAAAATTTTGTTTTATCTGCAAATTTTGCCACCATCTGCAAATCATTTATAAATATACTAAACAAGACCGGATCGACTTTGGAACCTGTTGGCACCCCACTGTTAACCTTTTACCATAATGAAAATTTACCATCCACTCCTACTCTTTCTTTTTTGTCTCTTACTCAGTTTCTGTTCCAGGACAGTATTTGGTGCCTCTCATTCCATGACTACTTAGGTTCTTTAGTAGACTTGTGAGGCATTTTATCAAAGACTTTTAAAAAGTCCAAATAAATGATGTCAACTAGTTCTCTTTTATCCACTATTTTATTGACATCATCAAAGAATTCTAATAAAGTCCTGATGCATAACTTTCCTTTGCAGAAGCTGTCTTCAAAAGCACTGGCTCTGACTGAGGACTGCTAAATAAAATAAATTTGCAGTGTCTGTAGGCCAAGGCACTTCTGAAATATGACACTGCAAAAAAGCATCAGAAGACTTCAAAAACACTTTCTCTCATTTTTCAGACACTCATATCCCTGAAATACCTTGTTCAATAAGAGAAAAATTTCCAAAAACCACACAAAATTCTCTGGAAGGAGACATAAGAAACGGAAATAACCAGGCCTCTTTTCCAAAACAGGGTTTACTGTCTTTTATCATTTGAGAGAAGAATTTTGGAACTGGGCTCTGCCTCAAATTCTTAGTCCAAACGACTTCCTCATACCTAACCACAGATGGCACAAGCAGATCAGCTTTATAGAGAATCTCTATAACCATCCCCCTGCTGAGAACTGGTACGGGAATCTCTGTTGTGCGTCCAGGTAGAATCCAGGCACAGTTTGCCACACAGGACATGGAAAGTCTAGAGGGGAAAGTCCAGAGAGTCTGTTACATTGCCAGGTAAGCAGCCACAAACTAATCAGCGCAGGAATGTCATGACTAGACCCAATTCCACACATAACACATTACTTCAAATATTTGCAATGACATATGACTAAAAACTGTTTCATGAAATTCAACCACACTTTACATAAACATTCTCCTTTGCCTTCCAAGTAAGTTAGGTAATTTTGAGGCCAAATTAATTTTCCAAGTCCAGGTTTCAGGGGTGCTAAAATTAGGCTTTTTAAATAAAAGCTGGTTGCAACCTTCATAACATAGCGGCTATCACTCATCTATAATAAAATTTTGGGAGCAGAAAGAAAGTCTCTGAAATACTTTTGCTGTTAGACAGCAATGAATGACTTAGCCAACTTACTGAAAGATTTATATACATACACGTGTGTTAAAGAGCCTTAGTTTTCCAGGTATTCCAGGGCAGCAAATAGAGTAGTTAGGCATAGAATGCATACTGTGATAAAAGGAAACAATTTTATTCAGAAAGAGAATTTGCTCTCATCTTACCTATAAAGATCTTTGATCAATCCCTCCTTCCAGCGAGAACAAAGATTATTAAGGACCCGCTCATGCTGGCCAAACAAACAAATGTAGTTGGAGACAGGGAAGGGCTCCTTTGAAAGGCAGGTAATGGTTTCTACCATACTGTACTGGTTCACATGTATCCTGAAGTAATTCCCCTTTGTTGCATCTCCTGTTATGATTTCCATCCCCTGGAACAAAAATAGTATGAATATTAAGAAAACTATTTAGACTGAGGGGACATTCTAATTGGCACATGTATCGTATCAGCTAACACTGTTGTTACACATCCTGATAGTTACACTAGCTCTTTCTGAAACTAAGAAGATTTTAGTAGCAAATAGCAGCTATAGGAAATGTAGTTTATAAAGCAAGGTGCCTTAGTAAAGCTGATGGCACAATAATAGAAATATACGACTGGAAGGGATCTTGAGAGGTCATCTAGTCCAGCCCCCTGATCTGAGGCAAGACCAAGTAAACGAAGACCATTTCTGACAGATGTTTGTGTAATCTATTCTTAAAAACTTCTGACAGAGATTCCTTTGGAAGCCTATTCCAGTGCTAAACTACCCTTATAATTAGAAAGTTTTTTCCTAATATCTAATTTTAATCTCCTTTACTGCAGCTTAAGTCCACTACTTCTTGTTCTACCTTCAGTAGACATGGAGAACAATTGATCACTATCCTCTTTAGAGCAGCCCTTACCATATTTGGACACTGTTATCAGATCTCCATTCCGCCTTCTTTTCTCAAGACTAAACATGCCCAGGTTTTTTAACCTTTCCTCATTGGTCAGGTTTTTTAAACCTTTGATCATTTTTGTTTCCCTCCGCACTCTCTCCAGTTTGTTAATATCTTTCTTAAAGTGCGGAGACTAGACCTGGACACAATGCTCCAGCTGAGGACTCACCAGTGTCCAGCAGAGTGGGACAATTAGCTCCCATATCTTACATTCAACACTCATGTTATTACACCCCAGAAAGATATTAGCCTTTTTGCAACTGCATCACATTGTTCACTCATATTCAATTTGAGATCCACTATAACCCCTAGACCATTTTTCAGCAGTACTATTGCCTAGCCTGTTATTCCCTATTTTGTAGTTGTGCATTTCATTTTTCCTTCCTGAGTGTAGTACTTTGCACCTGTCTTTACTGAATTTCATCTTGTTGATTCAGACCAATTCTCCAAATTATCAAGGTCATTTTGAATTCTAATCCTGTCCTCCAAAGTGCTAGCAACCCCTCCAAACATGGTGTCAGTCATAAATTTTATAACCACTCTCTCTAATTCATTATCCATGTCATTAAAAAATATTGACTGTATTAGACCTCAAGACAGACCACTGCAAGATCCAATAGACACATTCCCCCAGATTGACAGCACCCACAGATAACTACTCTTTGAGTATGTGCTTTCAATCAGTTATGCATCCACTTTATAATAATTTCACCTAGACCACGTTTCCCTAATTTGCTTATGAGAAAGTCATGTGGGAATGAGTCAATCATCATGATATATCACGTCTATAGCTTCCCATCTATCCACTAGGCCAGTATCCCTGTCAAAGAAGGGAATTAGGCTGGTTTGGCATGATTTTGTTCTTGACAAATCCATGTTGCCTATTACTTACACCCTATTATCCCTTAAGTACGTACAAACTGATTGTTTAATAATTTGTTCCAGAAACTTTCCATTATTGAAGTTAGTCTATAATTTCCCAGGCTCTCTTTGTTGGTACTATATTTTCCCTTCTCCAGTTCTCTGGGATCTCAACCATTCTCTATGAGTTCTCAAAGATAATCCACTGTTGCTTCAGCTAGTTCCTTAAGTATCCTAAGATCAATGTCATTAGGCCCTGTTGACTTGAATACCTCTAACCTATCTAAATGTTCTTTAACCTGTTCTTTCCCTATTTGGCTTTTGTTCCTTCCCCCTTGTTAATATGAATTGTGTTGAATATTTGGTCACTATTAACCTTTTTAGTGAAGACTGGAGCAAAATAGGCATTAAACAATGTAGCCTGCTTGATGGCATCAATTATTAGCTCTCCTTCCCCACGAAGCAGAGTACTTACACTTTCCTTCATCTTTTTCTTGCTCCTAATGTATTAATAGAATGTCATCTTATTACCTTTTATATGCCTCTTGCTAGGTGTACCTGAGGCCTTCTGATTTCGTGAATTAGCCTTTTTGATTTTGTCCCTGCTAATCCTTTGTACTCCTCTTCAGCAGTCTATCCATGTTTCCACTTTTTGTAGGACTCCCTTTTGATTTTCAGGTCATTAAAGACTTCCTGATGGAGCCACGCTGGCTTCTGACTACTCATCCTATCTTTCCTTTGCCTCAAGATAGCTTGCTGTTGCTTCTTTAATATTGTTGCTTTAAGAAACTACCAGCTCTTCTGAACTCCTTTCTCCCTTAGATTTTCTTTCCATGGGACCTCACCTACCAGGTCTCTGAATCTGTTAAAGTCTGCTTTTTGATGCCCATTGTCCTTAATCTGCTGCACTCACTTCTTCCTTTCCTTAATATCATGAGATCTATCATTTCATGCTCACTTTCACCGAAACTGCCTTCAATTTTTCAGACTCTCAACCATTTCCTCCCTGTTAGTCAGAATGAAGTCTAAAAATGGCCATTTGCCTGCTGTGGCACCTCTTTGAAGTCAGTGGGGACCTATATGGTATAGAAGTCTGCCTGCATGCGATCAATTGGAAGATCCGGACTTAAGCTCTTTTATTTACTTTTATTATCAAAAATAGCTTACAGTAACAAGGGACAGTGGATTAAAAAAACTACTATTATGATGCAAGAATAGCCAAGTCAGTAACCAGACAGAAATAAAAGGAAACTCATTTAGCATTGCTAACAGTATAAGAAAAGACACAAAGTCCAGTATTTTAACATAATTAAATTGCACAAAAATTTAGTGAATTACAAAAGAATGTAAAGATTAAAACAGGTGCATTGAGCAAATATCTCTTAACCAAGCATTTTGGTTTTCTGCAGCGATTTTGTTGAGCAATGACCTTGATATAAGATTTTTTTTTTCCTGGAGTTGATTTGGAATTGCTATTATCCAAAGATAACAGTGACCTCACATAGATGTTAAACCACATTAGTAAATATTCTCTTTGGTAAATCACTGTTTATTATTACTTTAATATAGTTGTACTAACTTTAGAAATGCATATTACACTTTTAGCCATCCCAGCCTTTAGGGTAAACTGTATTTATCAACTACAGTATCTAAAAATGATACTTTCGTCTTGACAAGCTGCAAGAGCAGTTATCATCTAGTCATGCAATTCTTTCACCATATTCATCTGTTCAGGTGCTACATCTATGTAGGTTTTTCTATGACCTCCATCACTGAAGTACTAGAGCACCTCCTAAAATTACAGAGCCAAATCCTCAACTTGTGTAAATCAACATAGTTCTGTCGAAAATAATGATGCTATGTAGATTTACACCAGCTGAGGATCTGGCCCAAAAAGCGTACAAATGAAGGTATACTTATTGAACTCGCTTTTCCTTCTACTCAGCAGAGGATGCTTATTGTTTCTATTTTGCTTGAATTTTGTGAGAAATAACCCCGCAGAGCAGCCTTTTAAACTGCCAAAAGGTAGTGTGGTCTAGTGGATGGGGCACTATATTGGGACTAGGAAACTTGGTTCTACTCCCAGTTCTACCGTAGACATGCCACGTGACCTTGGATAAATCACTTACCCACTCTCTTTCGGAGATGCAGTCTGTTTGATCTATTTAAATGGTAAATTCTTCACAGCAGGGACTGTTTCTTACTATATTTTTCTAAAATTCCCAGCACTATGTGACCCCAATCCTCGCTGGAGACTCTAGGCTTTACTGTAAGACCACTACAACTGAAATACTAATGGTGTTGGAGGTTAATTCTGGTGTGACTGTGCTTTCTTTCACTTAGCCAAAATCAATCAGCTACCGAATGAATGGACAAAAGATAATCATGCATTTTAAACCTCATATATCAGTGTTGTGGCCAAATATTTCACAGGTATATTTTGAGCTGTGCTCATGTTCTAGTTTTGTAAAATTAGTTGCTAGGTTACAGCAAGCTCTCTTACTCCCACAGCGTTTTGCTAGTTCTTCTCATTTCTTTCTGCAGTATGTTCTTTGATGATGTACATGAAGTGTTTGGAATGTTTTAAAAGATGTTATCTTTTAAGAGGACTGTGAACAAGTCAAAAGGTGCAGTGAAAGAGTTCTAATAATGCTTTTGGTATTTAGAGTAGAGGAGACACTCCTTGTGAGGCCTCCCCCAAAAGGGCTGTTGTAAGGTTCCTTCTGGATCCATGACACAGAACCCAAAAGAGAGGGAAACCAATGATTTGATTTTCATAGCTTCTTCTAAGTCAGTGGTTCCCAAACTTTAACAGCCTGCGAACCCCTTTCACTAAATTGTGAAATCTCGTGAACCCCCTCCTAAAAATGAACATTTCCAGAGATTTAAGTTTAAATTTCTTCCGCATTCCGTGGGGCTCCTGCTGCTGGACCCCACTGACCGCCCTGGTCAACTGAGCTCAACTGAGCTCGGGCTGCAGGTCCCGCTGACCACCGGGGCTTGGGCTGCCAGCCCTGCATGGAACGCTGGGGTTCAGGCTGCCAACTCCCACACTCACGGGGGCAGGGCTCAGGCTGCCAGCCCCAACTGCCCGGCCCCACTCTCCCTGGGGTTCGGGCTGCCAGCTCCGCCAGTGACGGGGGCAGGGCTCGGGCTGCCAGCCCCAACTGCCCAGCCCCGCTCTTTCTGGGGCTCGGGCTGCCAGCCCTGCGCGGAGCGCTGGGGTTCGGGCTGCCAGCTCCCCCGCTGACAGGGGCAGGGCTCGGGCTGCCAGCCCCAACTGCCCAGCCCCGCTCTTTCTGGGGCTCGGGCTGCCAGCCCTGCGCGGAGCGCTGGGGTTCGGGCTGCCAGCTCCCCCGCTGACAGGGGCAGGGCTCGGGCTGCCAGCCCCAACTGCCCTGCCCCACTCTCCCTGGGGCTCGGGCTGTCTGCCCTGCAACTGGATCTCACCTGTTGCCTCCAACGTCTAGGGTCCTCTGGCCGCCATTAGTGAAATTTTTCTGGCAAACCCCCCTGTAACGTTCTGCAAACCCCAGTTTGGGAACCACCGTTCTAAGTCTATCTCTCCCCTTTAAACTCTCTGTTCTTACTAAGGATCTCTGAACTTAGGAAACCAAAAACCCCTGAAAAGCTATGAGGGTTCTGTTGGCCTCATGCCATGAGTGAAGGTGTTGCACAGATGGTATCTTAGAGAATCAGTCCTTTTAGGTTGTTTGTGTGTATATTGTATTTGTAGTATGCCTGTGAATTTAGGTTTCTGGTAAATGAAAAGCTAAAAATGCCTTAAAGACACTGGTAATAAAGAATCACAGTTCATGGATCTATTGATAAAAGCCCTGATTCAGGAAAGCTTTTAAGCATATACTTAAGTCCATCATTATTCAGGCCATTACTCAAGCACATGGTACTTAAGTAATGTCCTGAATAAGAATGCGTTCCTGAATCAAGGGCAAAGCAAAGAAAAAATCCGTAATAATACTTACATAATTAGGCTGGGCAATTTGTACATCCAAGCGTGTAGGGATTCCTGGTTTGGAAATATGCAAGTAATTATAACCTCCGGGAAGAACACCTCCTACCACAGAGAAAACAGCTAAGATTAATATCTTTGTTAATGTTGTAAATCACAATTTATTTATTCAGCCATAAAACAAAACAAGCAAGTTTGACCCAAGTCATATGTTATTTACTAAAGAACTCCTCAGAGAAAAGGAAAATGTTGCTTTTTGATGGCATTCATATTGTGTATGTTTTTGTATTTTTGTGTATTTCAGTGCAATAGTCACACTGGGCCAGATTCTGATCCCAGTTATATTGGTGTTAAAATGGAATATAGCCACTGATTTCAGTGGAATTATTCCAGATTTACAACTGTGTAAATGACATCATAATCTGGTCCATTATTAGTAAATAATATATTATTTATATTTCTTTTGGTAACTGGTAAGATGTAGTACGCAACTAAAGACAAACTACAGACAGTGCATCTCAAAGGACACATTTTCAAAGATATGTGCAGCATGTAACTCTTGCAAATAACATACACAGTTATGCACAAATATACATCAACAAAGCAATGGATTTGTGCATATATATTGCGATATCCTGTCCCTTTAAATGTTTGGACACACTACACTTCCCCCTTCCCAGTGGCCTCACTTTTGTGTTGGTTTTAGTTTTGCTGCCAGAATGATAAAGCTACCATTATAGCAGACAGCTGTGTTTCTATCCGTGCCTTCTGTGTCTATCTCCTTCTCTGCTGGGTCCAAATATAACATATTGGTTATAAGGACCTTCTATCCCACGAGTGTCCAGTGCTGCCATTTTCTTAACAAGAAGAAGAAAAAGTAAACAGATAATATTTTAAGAAAGGAAAAAACTTCTAGAAACAAGGTGGCAGACTGCTGCTGCATTGTGCTTCAGGCATAGCTGGAACCAGCCAGCTAGAGAGGAGGAAGTAGGCAATTAGAAGTAGAACAAAGGAAGAGGTTTCTGCCATTGCTGCTGAGCTGCCAGAATTGTTTAAACAGAGCGGTGATGAGTAGGGTTGCCAACCCTCCAGGATTGGTCTGGAGTCTCTGGGATTAAAGATGAATCTGTAATTAAAGATTATGTCATGTGATGAAATCTCCAGGAATACATCCAACCAACACTGGCAACCCTAGTGATGGGGAAACAAGCAGCCATCTTGGCTGAACCATGTGCAAGCAGGCAGGGTGACAGATTTATCCTGTACTGAGGGCTTCACCCAGCAGAGGGTGCCCAACTGCAGCCAAAGGAAGAATTCTGCATTCTGCAGTGTAGGCACTCAGCAAGCAGAAGTTGATCAAGCACAGATAGCACTCTCGTCAACCCAAAGAAACTTCCAATGAAGTGTTTTATCTCAGTTTGATGTATTGGTTACCCATTACTAGCACAGACTTCAACAAAGAAAGTGCTAAGGTTGATGCTTTCTCTTGTGAAGGGAATGGTAATAAAAGGTACAGTGTTAGGACATAAGAATCCCCAGTTTACACAGTTCGTGTCAGGTCAATGTGAATTATCTGTGAATCATGGTTGCATCTTACGGGGAATGCGAGTGATCTTTCCAGAATCACTTCAACCTCTGGTTTTAGAAGATCATCACAAAGATCATTGTGGCATTGTTTGGATGAAGACAATAGCCTAGAGTCATGTCTGCTGGCCAAGGATCAACAAAGATGTTGAGAGGAAGATCAAGTGCTATGCTATGTGTTAGCAAATTCAGCATGATCCTGGCCCAGTTTATCTATATCCTTGGTCTTGGCCTCCTTGGACACTCCTTGGACACGTATTCACATGGACTTTGCTGGACCATGAGAAGGTTACATGCTTTTGGTTGTAGTTGATGCCCATTTGAAATGGCCATACGTTTTCAGAATGACTTCTACTACAGCTACCAAGACCATTGGACACCTTTGTACCTTGTTTAATCGATTTGGTTTATTGTTACAGTTGGTGAGTGACAACTGACCTCAACTGTGTTCTGGAGAATTTCAGAGGTCCCTAGCTTCAAATGGAATGATCATATATGCTCTGTTCCATACCATCCTGCAACAAATGGACTACCAGAACATTTTGTACAGACACTTAACCATGCCTTAAGAGCTAACAAATGTATTTTGAGTCATCAGCAGAAATTAGACAAATTTCTTGCTTGTCTACAGAAATGCCCCACATGCCACTATCCAGGAGTCACCTGCAACTCTTTTCTTGAAGCGATCTTTGCATACCTGTTGGGACCTGCTACATCCTGATGGTGCCTCTGGTGCAGCCAAATCCCAAGCTGTGCATATTGATCAATGATGTGAGACTTGTCAGAATTCTTTTGAAGCAGGAGACTTAGTGTGGACTTGCAAATATGGTTGTGGAATTAAATGGGTACCTGGAGATCTTGTAAAATTCATGGGATCTGTTTTGTCTGTGGTGAAACTATCCAGTGGTACTCTATGGATTGACATATGGATCAATTGCAGTCTCAGCAAGTACCAAAATCCAAGGATGTTCCAGTAGGATTTTCTGTTCCTCTGATTGAATCATCTCCAGTTAAAACTACTAATTTTGATGGCTTGGTGAAAGAAACTTTGGTATCTGGTCTAGTTGATTCCTTACCAGGTCCAACTGATTCCTTATCATCAGCTGTTCCTGTTGTTCAGCACACTGCCCCACCACCATCACCATGTTATCACAAAAGAGTGTAAACATCGGTGGTGCATCTGAATTTATAAATTGTTTAGTTAGTGATTTGCTATTCCAGGGCAGAATAATCCCATGCAATTTAAGAGTCTGAGGTAGGCCACCTGTAACCTCTAACTGGGTTATAGAGTGTTTTTTGTTAGTCATGTAAATGATAATGTATATATGTTTGTGAAGTTCTTTAAAGTAGGGTGGAGGAATGTGATGTCCTGTCCCTTTAAACATTTGGGTGCTCTGCCTCACTTGCCCATTGGTTTCAGTTTTGCTGCCAGAACAATAAATCTACCACCACAGCAGACAGCTGTTTTTCTATCTGCTCCCTCTGTGACTATCTCCTTCTCTGCCGGTCCAATTATAACATATATCAGACACACTACATGTGCAAATAGATCAGAGGACACATTTTACTTGCAGTTACCCCATTTGCATACACTACTGTGATTTTTTAAGGGGCCCAAAGGCCTGCACGCATTGGCTGAAATCATACCTGCACACAGGGCCAACTCCACAGGCTCTGTGAACCAGTCAACTCAGCCTTGAGCACTAGTGCTGGCTCTCTGTGTAGGGATGAATTTCACACAATGTGGTTGATCCATTGCAAAGGATTTTGAAAGTTTGGCCCCCAAAATGTCAGCTACCCAGTTTGTTTCAGATTAACTATATTTTGGAAATCTCACAAGTCTAAGCGTTTTTTTACAAAATTTCTGTTACCGCCAGGATTTGGCTCGATGTGAAATAACAAGAGAATAGAATTTCTTGGTATATTCTGAACCTTCTGTTTTGGGACTAAACCAGGAAGTGCAGAGACACACTAAAATGTAACCTTCTGTGTGTTACTAGGAATCATTTACCAGCAGATTTCAGCATCAAATCTGATTCCTTTGGGGCAAGATTAGAGAAAAAGTTATTTTATTGAACTTGTTGGCTCAGTCCCTAATAAGAACAAGGATAAATCACAGATAGAAAGAAACTGAGTTGTTTCATAAGAGTTTGTTGCTGACAATTAGATCATGAATATGAAATTCTCAGAAAATTCAATCAGTCAAAGGCAGTGGTGAGCTGGAGCCGGTTTGCACCGGTTCGCTAGAACCGGTTGTTAAATTTAGAAGGCCTTTTAGAACCGGTTGTTCTGCGAGGGACAACCGGTTCTAAAAGGGCTTCTAAATTTAACTTGGCAAAAGTGACACCTTAGGTGCCGACTCCACGGGTGCTCCAGACCTGGAGCCCTCACGGGGAAAATTTGGTGGGTGCAGAGCACCAACCGGCAGCTCCCCACCCCACCTCACCTCTGCTGTGCCTCTGCCTCCTCCCCTGAATGCGCCGCCCCACTCTGCTTCTCCGCCCCCGCCCCCCCCCCGGCTTCCCGCGAATCAGCTGTTCATGCAGGAAGCCGGGGCAGGCTGAGAAGCAAGCCGCAGCTTCCCGCTCAGGCCCAGGGAGGCAGATCAGAGGTGAGCTCGGGCGGGGGTGGGGGCGCGAGGAAGGCCGTCCGCGCCACATCAGGTAAGCCGGGGCGGGGCGGGGGGCACAGGGGAACCGCTCCCCACCCCAGCTCACCTCCACCACCCTCGGCCTGAGCAGGAAGCCGCGGCCTGCTTCTCAGCCCTCCCTGGCTTCCCGCCGAACAGCTGATTCGCGGGAAGCCGGGGGGGGGGATGCCGCGGAGAAGCAGAGCAGGGTGGTGGGTTCAGGGGAGGAGGCGGAGCGGAGGTGAAGTGGGGCTGGGTGCGGGGTGGGGAGCTGCCAGTGGGTGCTCTGCACCCACCAATTTTTTCCCCGTGGGTGCTCCAGCCCCAGAGCACCCAGGGAGTCGGCGCCTAAGGCGCCACTTTTGATGTGATCAGTAGGGGGAGTGGCTGCTCCCCCTGCTCCCCCCCAGCTACGCTCCCCCACTCCTAGGAGCCAGAGGGACCTGCCGGATGCTTCCTGGGAGCTGCCCCAGGTAAGCACCGCCGGGACTCCCCACCTTGCCCACCGGCAGGTGCCTCTGGCTCTTAGGGGTGGGGTGGGCACCCACTACGGTGGCCCACGAGACCCTCCTGCCTGGTTCTGGGGGCAGTCAGGGGACAGGGGTTGATGGGGCAGGGGCGTCAAGGAATGTGGGGGGGTTGGATGGGGCAGGAGTCCCGGGGGGGCAGGGGTGGGCAACGACCCCCTCGTGGGGTGAGGAGGGAACCCGTTGTTAAGATTTTGGCAGCTCATCACTGGTCAAAGGTGTAAACTGCAAGGTTGGGAGAGGCAAATCTGAAAGATTTCAAATACTGTAGGCTAAAAACTTGTATGTGTTGTTACAAGCTAAGTATAAGTGGTCTAATTAGCTGCACGACATGTTCTCATCAAACAGTGTTAAGCTAGACACACCTTTATCATCAAGAAGTGAGTCTAAGGATAGAGATGAAGAATTAACAGCAAACAAATGGAACAGAGAACTAGTTTGATGGTAGTAAAAGTGTGAGGACATAGAGTCTTCCTTCACTAGCATGGTTAACTATAAATAAAATAACATTACTCCTGCTGCAGGTACCCATCAGCTCAGGTGTACAGCATAAAATTTACTACAGTTCAACAATTTGTTACTTAATATTTACTTATTCAAAAAATACCAACAATAATAATATAATTCATGCCATACTATGGCATTTTGTACTACAGAAGAAAGTACTGAAGAAAACATAGAAGTGTAACAGACTGAAGAATTTGTTTTTGACACACCTTGAATTTTACATCCCTTGTACATAGGGATGAGTCTATCCAGATCTTCTGGTGGTTCAGAAACTGGCTCAAGAGTTGGATCAAAGAGATTCAGCATAGCTGCAGCAAGCTGGAAACCGATCTCTTTCGAACTGAAATTGCTGTGTGTCCATTCATTTGCATAATATATATTGGAGAACTTGGTTAAAGAACCTGCTGCTCTGATACTAACGTCATTAGTATGGAAGTTGGCATCAATAACAAGTCTTCCATCATAAACAAGGCACGCGTCATTAATCGCCTTGAAGGTTTCATAATCCACTCCCTTGTTGGAAAAGTTAAAGAATGCCTAAAAAGATGTAATAAGTGTAGGTCATACTACATTAGTCATTGTCTAATACAATAAATGAGGTTGTGTGACTCATTATTTCATGTGATTTATTTATTTTACAAACTACAGCACAAAATACAACATGACTTTCTATACCCTGATGTGGCCTATTGACCAAATTTTGAGATTAATTAAAAGTAAAAGGGACCCAAAGAGCTGAGATTTATTGAGCTAAGAGTATTCATAATTTCTTAGTTTCTGGTTAAAGAGATGTACTGTATTTTAATAGCTATATATTATTTAGTACTTTAAATATCCTGAACTTAAGTACATATTTTATCTTTGTCATTACAAGTATATGATAAAGAACACAAGGCTTTACAAAACTCTCCCCCACACAACATACAAGCCAAATTTAAAAACAGTGTACTTGAAAATAACACAATTTCATGTCTTTGAAAAGGTATTTGTTCATTACACATATTTTTGTACGCTAAAGCTATAATATTTATGAGAAACCAAAACTATCATGTTTGTCAGATTAGTTTGTATACTCTGTAGATATGATGATATTCTATTTTTCAACTAACAAATGTTTGGGTTAATTTCAAACATTTATTAGTACATGAAGATGAATGATAAAATATAAACTAGTTAAGTAAAAGATTTTTCCATCAGAATTATGAGGTGCTGGCTTTCTATTTAAGTTTTCTTGATTATATGTCATGTTCTTTCTTCAACAAGGTTTGCATCTCTTTCTAACTTAACATTTTTTTTACTATTATTTACAGCACAAAAACAAAAACAATGAAAAAAACAGTTACCTACCTTTCATAACTGTTGTTTTTTGAGATGTGTCACTCATGTCCATTCCATTCTAGGTGGGTGCACTGTCACGTGCACAGTCATTGGAGATTTTTGCCTTAGCAGTATCCGTAGGTTTGGCTGTGGCACCCTCTGGAGTGCCGCACTCATGTGTCGATATATTAGGCACCACCAGCCCTATGCCCTTTCAGGTCCTTCTTGCCAGCAACTCTGACAGAGGGGCAGGAGGGCAGATAATGGAATGGACATGAGCAACACATCTTGAAGAACAACAGTCACAAAAGGTAGATAACTGTTTTTTCTTCGAGTGCTTGCTCATGTCGATTCCATTCTAGGTGACTCACAAACAGTATCCCTAGAGGCAGGCTCAGAGTTCATGGCCGTGCGGCTTGCAACACTGCTCTACCAAAGCCAGCATCGTCTTGGGCCTGCTGGGTAAGTGCGTATTGAGCCGTAAATGTCTGAAAGCTTTGTTGTGTAGACATAGCCTAACTTACTAACTACACTACTTAACAGGTACTTACTAACAACTACTGTGAACAAACTGTTTACAAGACGCTAAGAGCTGGAAGAAAGGAGAGAACCGCTAACCACTTGCTAGGCAAGGGAAAGGCCTCCAACCAACCGCCACAGGTGGTAAGAAGGTACGGAGAGGGCGTAGGGCCAGCAGCGCCTAATATACCAACGCATGAGCGCAGCACTCCCGAGGGAGCCACAGCTGACCCTACGGATACCATTAAGGCAAACATCTCTGACAACTGTGTACATGGGCGCGTACACATCTAGAATGGAATCGACATGAGCAAGCACTTGAAGAAGAATAAAAAGTTAGTAAATTCAGAACTGATAAAAGGAAATGTTATAACACAATGTCTACTTAGACTGTTTTCAGAGTGGTAGTCATGTTAGTCTGTATCAGCAAAAAAAAAAAAAAATGAGGAGTACTTGTGGCACCTTAGAGACTAACAAATTTATTTGGGCATAAGCTTTCATGGGCTAAAATCAGATGCATCTAATGAAGTGGGTTTTAGCCCACAAAAGCTTATACCCAAATAAATTTGTTAGTCTCTAAGGTTCCACAAGTACTCCTCGTTTTTTTTCTTTTACTTAGACTGTGGAACTCATAGCCACTGGAAGCTATTGAGGCCAAGAATTTAGCAAGATTGATAGAGATATTAGATATTTATATGCATAGCAAGAATATCCAGATTATAATTAATTATGATGAAAATTTTGGAAGGGTTATTAAACCTCATGCTTCAAAGCTTAAGAAAATCTCTAATAATTAGGGATCAGGATGAGACCTACGAGGGGTGTCAGATTATCCCACATCTGCCAACTGTGGGGTTCTTGCTCCTTCCTTTGAAGCATCTGGTGGAATATAACACTCCTGGTGTCAAGCTGCAGGATTTTTCTAGTCAGCAGTCCCATTGGGGCCAATTGCCCCCAGGGCCCTGCGGAGGATTTTAAGGGTATAAAAGGGATGTGTGTGGCCCCATCTGCCCTTCAGTTCCTTCCCTAATTTTGAAATTCTTTATCTGAGACTGTGAAGAAAGGGGAGGCTGGGCAGGTAGTATGACTATTCAGAGAATACTCTCAAGGAACAAGTTACTGGTAAGCAACCTCTCTTCTTCAAGTGCCCTCTACATATGCCCCACTTTTGGGGAAATTAGTAAGCAGTTCAGCTCCCTAGGAGACATTCTAAGCAAATGAGGACTTTAAACCTGCCCAAACTAGCATCAGCTGTAGATGGCAGTCCAAGAGCGTATTGGAAGTGGCCACTGTTTCACACTCCCACATCAGACTGCAGTGAGGGACATTTCCCTCCCTGCAAAATATGTACATTTACAGCTTCAAGCAAGAACTTAACAAATTCTACAAAAAATAGGAGAGCTGCAATGGATGCTGTCTTCAAATTAGTTGAATACTTTTGATATAACTGGGTGAATGAACTCTTGGCATATTTTAATAGGGATGTAAAAGAGACTTTGGGAAATGCAAACAGATTAGAGGCCTATTCGCGGTAGAAATGGAGATGACTTTAGACTGACAATGGGAATTTGAGGGTACCAACTGTCACAATCACATTTCACATACAGACTACAGTTTCCAGAGGACTGGTCATGTGGTTTGTGCCTCAGTAAGTCTGGTCAGTAGCTATGACTATGAGTAAAAGTCTTTTCCTCAAGTGCATGGTGCGAACAATACTCTGACAACTAGCAGAGCAAGAGCTTCGACACACAAGGCTTCATCCCAAATCAAATGAGACACTGGCACAAGAGGACATATCCCCTGGGCAGGTAAATGTATTCATCCACCTTGGGGTACTCACAACACAAGAATCCTGCTACAAAGAAATCCAGAGTCATTTGGAGCAGCCATGAAGGTAAGGCAGCTACCTCAATTAACCCCTGTGGTACATGGACCAATCCTTCCAAAACCTAGGATATTGCCAAGTGAGTGAGGACCTGTTGACCCAAGCATATGAGCGTAAAAGCTGAAATCACAACCCATGCAGTCTGGATGAACTCATATCACAGTTCTGAATGTTTGAAGTGCAATAGATTGTTTGGTCAAAAATTACTTTTTTGATAAAAAGAAAAAAGAAAAACCACACTAGACATCTGAAAAATGCTCTCATCAATCATGTCAGCAATCTAGATCTCAGGGTGTTCACCCAAGATGATTCAGGATCAGTGGAAATTTGGATCAGGCCTTGAATGCAAACATATTACAAGTAGACTTGGAAGGATTAGATTTTTTTTTATCAGTAAATGCTGATTAATGTCCATTTCACCAGACACACACAAACAGAGAAAAAAATTTCCATCAATAATAAAAATTTACTGATAGTCAAAGAAAGAACATTTTTGCTAGAGAGCTTATTAGAGTTTAAATCTAAAAACTTTACATTGATGTTGATGGTTTGTGTATTAATGATTAAAAAGCTTTATCTTTTTGAATCTTAGTCTCTGCTGTCATTAAATAATTATTGTCTGACTCCAAACACCATTGTCTGACCTCCCATAATTTTCCACAACTGTGAAATTTAAAAGTGATAAAAATCAGCAAAAAATTCTTAACCCATAATTTTGCACAACCATGAAAATTTAAATTGATAAAAATAGTAAAAAATGCTTAAAAATAAGCTTTGACATTATCCATCAAAATTATTTAAACAAATCAAATGCTGCCAAGTCTAATAATAAGTGAGGAAAAGAAACAAATTAAAAAAGGCATGGAAGGGGCTGGGTGAAACAAGGATTGATCAATAATGAGAGCAGTTACACAATTAAGATATGAACATGCCTTGATTGTCCCACAGAGTTTTTAACGTAGGTGACATGGCAGAAGCGAGACTTTTGGAAGAATGTTATTGAGGAGAGACTTGTGACTTGGCATTAAGATTTGGAGAAAGCATTCCATCCACATGGGGCGGCATGGAAGAGAACATAGAGGCTGCAATGGGAGAGGGAAACGAAGGGCGCATGGAGTTTGGCACCCTGGCATAGCAGAGGCACTGCAGAAGGAGATAAGCGTTCCTATGATGTATGTATGCTTCTTCATACATTAAAACATTTAATCAATACAGTATTATTAAAGGAATACTAACAATGGTAGGTCTAAAATTAGACTTACCAGCTGTATAATATCCGTCAAGAGGGGGCAAGAAAATTGTACGTTTTGGTATGCTGCCTGCTACCATGCATGACACTCTATGAGCCACTTTGTCCCCTGGCTGGGAAGGCAGGCGGTTGCAATGAGACAGTTCTCTGGAACAGGCTCTGATTCTCAGTGTCTGGGCTTCTCTCACCCAGATGACTGAGTGCAGAGCAGAGCAGAGCCTCGCCAAACAGGGATGGGGTGGGGCCAGGAGGAGAGGAGATACAGTCCCTGACATCAGCAGCAACTAAAGCAGTACTCTTTCTCCCATCTTTGGGGTGAGAAAAGCATGGAGTTGGGAAGTGACTATGGCAGACTCATCGCAGGGGGAGAGCTGGGAAAGGCAATGAAGTTGGAGGGGCAAACAGAAAGGGAGAGACAAAAAAGTAGGTGAGAGGGGCGAATGATGGAACAATAGGGGCACTTTGAGGAGACGAAGGGGGAAAGAATGAGGGAGTGTGGGGGAGATGGAGGGGAAATGAGGGAGTTGGTGGCAGAGCAGACTAATGGTTCTGTGTGGGAGGGAGGGAGAAGGATAGGTTGAAGGGAGGGAGGGAGGAAGGAAGGAAGGGAGGGATGGGGTAAGGGAAGGAAGAATGAAGTGTTTATAGGGAGGAGGAGGAGGAGGAGAAACTGGAAAGTTGCTAAGGGGAGGGAGGAAGGGCGAGACGAGAGGAAATGTTTGGGGAGAAGAAAGGGTTTATAGATTCCAGGAGTAGAGAATTGGGAGGGAACTTTATTGCTGGGAGTCTCATGAGAGGAATTCCCCTCCAACTTGGTGGGCAAACTTACTACACAAATGGGGAATGCATGCAAAGCAAAGACATGTCAAGATGGTCATGTGGGTGCCTGTAAGTGCATATCCTGAAACTTAGATTCATACAAACAGTTCTTAGTCAGACAACTAAGCCAACTGATGAGTAAGTGTTAAAGGATTGGCCCAAATAGTGCAGTGCCGATATTGTATTTTAATTGCAATCCTGAATTTAGAGGGCTGATACATATTTCCTTCTGGTAAAGAAAATCTATTTAAAATAGTTAGAATAAGTGTAGGTTAAATTTCATGCATATCAGTATTAACATTGTGATCTTACAATTTGACTTGAATTCAGTTCCCTAAACAAATTTAGATCACTATAGGTAGGAGTACTGTAAGTAAGTATTTTAAGAATGATTTTGAAAAAATAATTAAAACTACCTGTCATTCAACAGTGAATAGCAATTTGTATGTCCGTTGATTTAAACACTTCTTTAATCCAAATCTGTTTGGAAATCTAAAATGGTTTTATTTTTTTAAAAAAATCCCTCAGATTAATAAGTGAATGTTAAATCTTCCAGATACACTGAAACCTAGATAAACCAACCAGGATTAGCTTGGTCTGATTATCTTTGCAGGCTGAACAAAAGGAATACAAAGCATATACTTACTGTACATTGCAGTTTAAATGGTCTTGTATTAGTCGTGAAAGAAGCACATTTTATAGGATCTGGGTGGTCACCTTCATTCCACTGTGCCAGTATACTGTCATAATAGACACACACATCATTCTTTGACAATGCCTCTTTAACAGCTTTTTCGATTGCATTGTTGTTAAGGCAAGTTACATTTGAGCTAAGTGGTGGCTGCACGAGGTGTATGCGAGAACCATGAATTCCAAGAGATAGGAGGGTTTGTGCTGTGGAGTAAATGTCAATGGTATTCCCATAGACAATGACATTCCCTGAGGGAAAAGGGAAAAAAATTCTAAGACACACAACAACAACTCTATCAGTGTAACTCAGACGATGATAATACAGAATTGCTCTCTTTGACCTTATTGCTCTGATGCGATGAAGCAAACAATGCTACATAGCAACAGTAACTAAGATAATTTAGTGAAGAATTTGTGCAAAACATCCTACAAAGTAGGCAAATACTTACTGCAGAAGTATGACATGGATTATGACCCCAGAACTTGAAACTATGTTGCTGGAAAACCTCTAAAATAAAAATTTTGTTTCTTACCCTTCCTTCCCCCTCTGTCCCCTTCCCCCGTTTTGCTTAGTTAAAGCACGTATTAGAGACACAGGATAGAAATCACAACATATGTTTTTTCTCTACGAAATATAGAAATATCACCTTAACAGGAAAACACTTTTTTTTTTTAAGTTTTGAAAATTACATAGAAATGGATTTGGATTGTCCCCTCTTGCAGTAAGACAGCTGAAGCGGCACAGGAGACAGCAAACAGAGCTGTAAACAGGACTGAGGTGGGAAGGCGATGACAGATACAGAGGCAGCAGTAGTAGTAATCCAAGCAGTGGAAGACACAATGAAGATGACTGGATGTAGAAGCTGCGGCATGTACATGATTGTGGAGGGGGGACCTGAAAAGAGTTTTGTCTGCATGAAGTGCCGCCTGATAGAGCTGAAGGAAGAAAAGATCTGAGGACTGGAGATGCAGGTGGAGACTCTGCTTGAGTTTAGAAGGGGGCTCGAGCGGATGATGGAGCAAAGACATGAGGTGGCTGAAGAGAAAAGCTCTGACTTGCAGATGGAAGCAGAACCAAAGAACTCTGAGGGGATACTGCTGGGTGAGGAAAGTGGACAGTAGAAGCATGTGACTAAGAGAACCAGCCAGAGGAAAAGGTGAGCTAGTGAAAGAGAAACAGAGCTTAGGACCAGGTTTGCGGAGTTCAAAAATGAAGAAGGGGCACAGCAGGTGGTCACTGAAGGTGAGAGGGCAAGGAAGAAGAGAAGAGCAGATAGTCCTATAGGAAGAGGTTAAGAGTCAATGGAGATAACAACACCAAATATGAGCCCCAAGAGAATACGGGATGGGTTGCAGAGGACAATAGGAATCGAGAGGACTTGCAGGCAGAGGGAACAGGGGATAGACTGCAGAATCGCACCATCACCAGGAAAAGGCAGGTCTATGTGACTGAGAAGAATAGACAGGCCTGTAACAAAAGCTGATCCAGAGAACAGAAGGGTGTGCTGTCTGCCGGGTGGATAGAGGATCCTAACAGGAGTGGGAAAGAATCCATTGATTATCCTTCATGTGGGAACAAATGATATGGCTAGATTCTCGCCGGAACGTATCAACCGAGACTATGCCAGAGTGGGGAAGTCGCTTAAGGAAATCTAGGCTCAGGTGATCTTCCATGGGATTCTGCCTGTTCCTAGAGAAGGGCAACAAAGGTGTGACAAGATTATGATGCTCAACAGATGGCTCAGGCAGTGGTGCTATAAGGAGGGCTTTGGGATGTATGGTCACTGGGAAGCATTCATGGACAGAGGACTGTTCTCTCGGGATGGCCTTCACCTGAGTAAGGAGGGAAATAGACTTCTAGGATGGAGGATGGCACAACTGATCAAGAGAGCTTTAAACTAGAAATCTGGGGGAGATGGTTGGGAGATGTCCAGATAATCTCCATGGCGGATTTTAACATTGAGTGGGAAGAAAACAAAGTAAGAAAGGATACAGCTGTGGGTAAGAGAATGAACATAAGGAGGAAGGGTAGTGTACATACCAGTCTAATAGGTGATACTGGTGGTAGAATATCTGTGCCCAATTGGGTAAAGAATGTGAGCGGGCCAAACAGCAAAAATTAAGATGTTTGTATACTAATGCGAGGAGCCTAGGTAACAAAATGGAGGAACTAGAGCTACTGGTGCAGGAAATGAAACCAGATATTATAGGGATAACAGAAACATGGTGAAATAGCAGTCATGACGGGACAACAAGTATTGAAGGGTATGTGCTGTTTAGGAAAGACAGAAATAAAGGCAAAGGTGGTGGAGTAGCACCGTATATCAATGATGACGTAGACTGTAAAGAAATAAGAAGTGATGGAATGGATAAGACAGAGTCTGTCTGGGCAAAATTCACACTGAGGAAGAAAGCTACTAGAGCCTCCCCTGGGATAATGCTTGGGGAGTGCTATAGACCGCTGGGATCCAATCTGGATATGGATAGAGACCTCTTTAATGTTTTTAATGAAGTAAATACTAATGGGAATTGTGTGATCATAGGAGACTTTAACTTCCCAGATATAGACTGGAGGAGAAGTGCTCAGATTTTCCTGGATACGATAGCTGATGGATTCCTTCACCAAGTAGTTGCTGAACCAACAAGAGGGGATGCCATTTTAGATTTGGTTTTGGTGAGCAGTGAGGACCTCATAAAAGAAATGGTTGTAGGGGTCAACCTTGGTTTGAGCGATCGTGAGTTAATTCAGTTCAAACTGAATGGAAGGATAAAGAAAAATAGATTTGTGACTAGGGTTTTTGATTTCAAAAGAGCTAACTTAAAAAAATTAAGGAAATTAGTTATGGAAGTGGATTGGACTGAAGAACTTGTGGATGTAAAGGCAGAGGAGGCCTGGAATTACTTCAAGTCAAAGTTATAGAAACAATCAGAAGCCTGCATCCCAAGAAAGGGGAAAAAATTCATAGGCAGGAGTTGTAGACCAAAATGGACAAGCAAGCATCTCAAAGAGGTGATTAAGAAAAAGGAGAAAGCCTACAAGGAGTGGAAGATGGGAGGGATTAGCAAGGAAAGCTACCTTATTGAGGTCAGAACATGTAGGGAAAAAGTGAGAAAGGCCAAAAGCCATGTAGAGTTGTACCTTGCAAAGGGAATTAAAACCAATAGTAAAAGGTTTTATAGCCATATAAATAAAAAGAAAACAAAGAAAGAAGAAGGGGGACTGCTAAACATTGAGGATGGAGTGGAGGTTAAGGATAATCTAGGCATGGCCCAGTATCGAAACAAATCCTTTGCCTCAGTCTTTAATGAGGCTAATGAGGAGCTTAGGGCTAATGGTAGGACAGCAAACGGGAAGGAGGATATGGAAGTAGATATAACCACATCCTAGGTAGAAGCCAAACTCCAACAGTTTAATGGGACTAAATCTGGAGGCCTAGATAATCTTCATCCAAGAATATTAAAGAAACTGGCACATGAAATTGCAAGCCCATTAACAAAATTTTTTAATGAATCTGTAAACTCAGGGGTTGTACCGTATGACTGGAGAATTGCTAACATAGTTCCTATTTTAAGAAAGGAAAAAAAAGTGATCTGGGTAACTACAGGCCTGTTAGTTGACATCTGTAGTTAGCAAGGTCTTGGAAAATTTTTTGAAGGAGACAGTAGTTAAGGACATTGATGTCAATAGTAATTGGGACAAAATACAACATGGTTTTACAGAAGGTAGATCGTGTCAAACCAACCTGATCTCCTTCTTTGAGAAGGTAACAGATTTTTTAGACAAAGAAAATGCAGTGGATCTAATTTACCTCAATTTCAGTAGGCATTTGATACGGTTCCACATGGGGAATTATTAGCTAAATTGGAAAAGATGGGGATCAATATGAAAATTGAAAGGTGGATAAGGAACTGGTTAAAGGGGAAACTACAACAGGTCACACTGAAAGGTAAACTGTCCGGCTGGAAGGAGGTTACTAGTGGAGTTCCTCAGGGATCGGTTTTGGGACCAATCTTATTTCATCTTTTTATTACTGACCTTGGCACAAAAAGCAGGAATATCCTAATAAAGTTTGCGGATGACACAAAGCTGGGAGGTATTGCCAATACAGAGAAGGACCAGGATATCATACAGGAAGATCTGGATGACCTTGTAAACTGGAGTAATAGTAATAGGATAAAATTTAATAGTGAAAAGTGCAACGTCATACATTTAGGGATTAATAACAAGAATTTTAGTTATAAACTGGGGACGCATCACTTGGAAGTAACAGAGGAGGAGAAGGACCTCGGAGTGTTGGTTGATCCCAGGATGACTATGAGCCGCCAAAGTGATATGGCCGTGAAAAAAACTAATGCGGTCTTGGGATGCATCAGGTGAGGTATTTCCAGTAGAGATAAGGAGGCGTTAGTACCGTTATACAAGGCATTGGTGAGACCTCATCTGGAATACTGTGTGCAGTTCTGGTCTCCCATGTTTAGGAAAGATGAATTCAAACTGGAACAAGTACAGAGAAGGGCTACCAGGATGATCCGAGGAATGGAAAACTTGTCTTATGAAAGGAGACTCAAAGAGCTTGGCTTGTTTAGCCTAACCAAAAGAAAGCTGAAGGGAGATAGGTTTGCTCTCTATAAATATATCAGAGGGATAAATACTACGGAGGGAGAAGAATTATTTAAGCTCAGTACCAATGTGGACACAAGAACAAATGGATATAAACTGGCCATCAGGAAGTTTAGATTTGAAATTAGACAAAGATTTCTAACCATCAGAGGAGTGAAGTTCTGGAACAGCCTTCAAGGGAAACAGTGAGGGCAAAAGACATATATGGCTTCAAGACTAAGCTTGATAAGTTTATGGAAGGGATGATATGATGGGACAGCCTAATTTTGGTAATTAATTGATCTTCAACTATTAGTGGTAGATATGCCCAATGACCTGTGATGGTATGTTTGATGGGGTGGGATCTGAGTTACTACAGAGAATTCTTTCCTGGGTATCTGGCTGGTGAACCTTGCCCACATGCTCAGGGTTTAGCTGATTGCCATATTTGGGGTCGGGAAGGAATTTTCCTCCAGGACAGATTGGCAGAGGCCCTGGGGGGGTTTCGCCTTCCTCTGCAACATGGGGTACGCGTCACTTGCTGGAGGATTCTCTGCACCTTGAAGTCTTTAAACCACAATTTGAGGACTTCAATAGCTCAGACATAGGTTAGAGGTTTGTTACAGGAGTGGGTGGGTGAGATTCTGTG